CCGCACATGCCGTGTGATCTCCCTCAAGGTGATCTGCTCCATAACCTACCCTAACATCAAGGTCAGGCCGATGGGCCTGTAGTTCCCTGGGTCCTCCTTACATCTCTTCTTGTAGATAGGAATCACACTGGTAAGTCTCCAGTCTTCTGGGACATCTCCAGTTGACCAGGAACACTGACAGATGATGGAAAGCGGCTTAGCTATCATCTCCGCCAGTTCCCTCAGCACTCTCGGATGAATCTCATCCGGTCCCATGGACTTGTGACAGTCCAATTGGAGTAGTAGGTCTCTGACTGTTTCCTCCTGAATCGTGGGGGGTTTATTCTGCTCCCCAGCCAAGACTGCCAGGTCAGAGAGTGGAGAAACCTGAAGATAACTGGTCTGACTCTTAAAGACAGATTTAAAGAAGGCATTCAGAACCTCTGCCTTTTCCTTATCCTCAGTGGTCACATTCCCAGTCTCATCCAGTAAAGAATGAAGATTCTCCCTGGTCCTCCTCTTACTGTTAATATATTTGTAAAAGAGTTTCTCGTTCCCTTTTACCCCAGCAGCCAGGTTGAGTTCAAGCTGGGCTTTTGCCTTTCTGATTTTCTCTCTACACATCTTAACAACTTCCTGGTATTCTTTCCGGGTTGCCCGTCCCTTCTTCCACAGGAGGTAGATTCTCTTTTTCTCCTGGAGCCTCAAGAATAGCACCCTATTCATCCACACTGGTCGTCTTCTGCGCCAGCTCATTTTGCAGCTCAGGGGGACAGCCTGCTCCTGCGCCTTTAAGACTTCCTTCCTGAAGAGCAACCAGCCATCTTGGACCCCTTTATTCTCTAAGACTGAACGCCGGGGGACTCCCCCTACTAGTCTCCTGAACAATTCAAAGTTTGCCCTCCGGACGTCCAAAGTACCAGTTTTGCTGTTCCCCCACCTGACTCCACCAAGAATCAACAACTCTGCCATGTTGTGCTCACTCTGTCCAAGACAGCCCCCGACCTCCACATCTCCCACTAGACTTTCTCTGTGAACAGAAGGTCTAACGGGGCAGCTCCTCTCCTAGGTTCTCTTATCAGCTGCATCAAGAAGTTGTCCTCCATACATTCCAGAAACCTAGACTGCTTCTTCTGCGCTAAGTTGTATTCCCAGCATATGTCAGGGAAATTGAAGTCCCCCATAAAGACAAGGGCCCCCCCCACCCCCCCTGGCCCCACAAAATGGGAAGGAAGGAAGGGAGGAAAAAAATCAGCGGCAACAATCTATGGAGGAAAACTTATTTTACTAACTATGATATCGGAATGCAAGATAACACAATATAACACAATCTAATTGAAAATGAGACTAATAAATCAAATAAGATAGGAGAGAGAGAGCTCCTGAGACCGAGTCAAACCTGAAAAGCTTGGAACGGCTAGGAAAGCACCCTCCAGCACCCACTGCCAGGCAGTAAGAGACCGCCCCACCCGGAAGGGTCAGATCCCGTGACCTCCGTAATGGATAGGTACCTGGAATTGGAGCATTAACACTTTAATTCCAGTACATGATGTTTTCATGTGGAATACTGAAAACCAAAAAATGTAAAACCATGACAACTTCTAATGCCTTAAGACTAAATTTTATATTAGCTAATAATGACCTTTGTTTGAGGATTGGTTTTGTTTTAGAATATCAGCCAGCTTATCACAAGTTCAACCTATCAAAAGTGAGCAATGAGGAAAAAGCTCTAAAGAGTAGGGCAGAGAACACTAACCTCTCTGAAAAACAAACTAATAGTTTCAAATATTGTCTCAAATCAGCACACTAAGATATGTTGAAAAAATTATAACTCCATGGGCTATAAATATGTTCATTTCTGAATTAAAATAACGTTTACATAGATTTTGCTACCACTATCTAGAAACCAAATGCTAATTACTCTACTCTCATTAAACAAAGCTACTGAAAATATTAAAATCCATGTTTTGGACACAACTGGTGTACACACACAGACACACTAAGACAAGAAGGTTTCTATTTGCAAAGCATATGTTCAGCTATCATGCACGCTTGATATCCAGGCAACACAAGGATCCAGAATAGGACTGGGTCTTTTCACCCTTTCCTAACACACACTATATGGTCCCTCTGTGCCACAGCTGTTTAAGCCCTGTTTGTTCTTCAGGAGGAAACTTTTTTAAGGAAAAAAGGAAGACAAACATTTGAAATACTACCAGGGAATGATGCTGTGCAGTAAGATCAGCCTGCTGGTGGGAACAGAGACAGACAATCTTTAGTGGTATAGTGGGATCTTTAGAGAAGATTGTAATCTTGCTGACCATACAGCTTATGAGCAGCACCACTTGATAACAGGTCTGAAGCAGAAAAATAGCAAAAGTTAGTCTCTCTAGCAGCAGTACAGATTTGCACTCGCCTCAGACAAGACTGGAAACAACCCCTCAGTTAAAAGTTCCCATTAAGCTAACAAGGCCATGCTATAATTTGCTTTTAAGATAACTGATTTGTCTGAAACATCACTGACAGTGGCCCCAGAG